ACGCATGCAACAGGATTTCTGCCACCCTCTCACCTGCTGGAACTTCCTTATGCATGTCCCAAATATGCTCAGGAGGATTTGAAGTGGAAAATCCTCTCCACTAACAACCCCCTTCAGTTGATAGAATGAAGTCATTGGATATAATCCATGGATGATTTACTTCCCGATTAGATTTCTGTAACGCGCTCTACATGGGGCTACCCTTGAAGACGGTCCGGATACTTCAGTTGGTGCAGAATAAAGCTGCCAGGTTGCTGACGTGGACTGGGCGTTGTTCTCATATAACCCCAGTTCTCCGTCAGCTCCACTGGCTCCCAATTGAAGTCCAGGCCCAATTCAAGGTGTTGGTTATGACCTATAAAGCCCTAAACGGGTTGGGACCTGGATATCTAAAGGAATGCTTGCGCCCATATATGCCCTCCCGCCCCTTGAGATCAGCAACGGATGCCCTTCTCCGGGAACCCTCTGTGAATGATATTAGGAGGGTGAGTACCTGGAGGAGGGCTTTCTCTGCGGTGGCGCCCCATCTATGGAATGCGCTCCCCAGAGAGGTCCGCCTGGCACCGTCGTTATTTGTTTTTCAGCACCAGGCTAAGACCTTTTTATTTAAAACTTATTTTAATTGTTAAATTATTGAATTAATTAGGATTTTAACATTTTTAGCCAATAATGCACCAGGGGTTTTTAATTGTTTTTTTAATTGTTATATTATTATTTATGTATGTTTTTATGTATTCTTTGTGAGTTGCCCCGAGGCTTTGTTGCGATGGGGGCAGCATAGAAATGTTTTAAATAAATAAATAAATAAATAAATAAAATTATTGTGGTTACTGGGTTACCAATAGGCATTACCTATTTTCTTCATCGTCTTGCATCTAAGAACTAGCAATGGGACTTGTCTCCAAACAGAGACAGTTGTTTTTATCATATAATCATGTTGCTGTCTTTACATCTGTGTGTGCTCCCATCCCCTCTCCCTAGCCAAAGTTGGCCAACTTGTAGCAGATGTATGCTGATGAAGGATAAATACAGCAGGAAGATACATCTCCACTAGAGGGTCAGTGGTACCCAAATAACAGCTGAAATTGTGTTCATGTCTGGAATGAAGCTGTTCACTCAGCTTCTGCTCTTGGAAATGGACTTAGACTTGAAGCAATGGACTTCACAGAAGTTGTAAATGCCAAACAAAGGCTGAGTGTTGAGTTTAGTTTATAAGTAGCAGGGAAACTAGGTATTTACTACTTGTGCAATTATCATTCTATTGCTGCTTACAGTTATTGATAAGATGTGTGGCAGGTAAACATTCCAATAACCTTGCCACTGTTTCATGGTTCAAACAATCTAGCTCTTTCCATTCTTAGCACTATGCTAAAAACCTTTTTCTGAAACCTTGCACCCCAAGTTTTTTCTGGGGTGTATAATCAGGCAAATGCCTCCTTAGAGAAATCCCCAAAGGCAAAGGGACTGGAACTTCTTTTTGCTCTTTGGGGTTATGCAAGGCACTGGCAATATGATGTTAGGTAGCATGAGCTGAATCTAATTCTTGATGTGCGCACAGAATGAATATGTTGGAATGGAACTTCTGCATCTGCTTCTCCACACTGCAAACCCCAGTTGGGGAAACGCTCCAGAGATCTGGAGGGCAGAAGTCCTGTTCTTCTCTGCAAAGAAACAGAGAAGATACAGAAGTCCCATTCCACCAGCAGAGACTGTTCCATGAACACAGTGAGGAAGCTGGATCCAAGCCACCACTGTTCTCCTTGTTGTATCTATAAAATACTGCTCTACTGGAGCACTCTCATTCCAAACTTCACAAAGAAAAGGATGGGTATATTTCAAAAAAAGAGAACAATTTTTAAAAGCACTTCCATTCCTTTCATAATAAGACTTTGGAACTGATAAGAACTCCTTCTGAGGGAAAAGCTCCTTCTGTCATTTTACTTTACTTTATTCTATTGAGCAAAGAAAAGAGTTGAGCAGAATGACTATTCTTTGGAAGGTAGGGAAATTAAAACGTGCAAGAAAATGTGGTTGAATGTAGTTCTTAAACATGAATCCATGTCTTCCTATTGCAGCAAAAGGCTTGAAATCACACTAACTAGGAATAGGATATATAATTTTCAGTGATCATGAAAGAGAGGACAGGAAAATGTTAATTGCTTCATATGGTATGGCATCTAATAATGCGGAAACTAGGACACAAGAAGAGAAGGAGGAGTCTACTAAGTTTCATTTGGAAATTGTTGGATGCACAGTAACAAATAAAAATCTGCATGTGCAACTCCCATTCTCCCCAACTATGATTGTAGTTGTAGTTCAGCACATCTGGAGATCACTTGTTTAGGGAAACTGATCAGTCTATGTCTTCTGGTTCTTGTAATTATTTTCTTCCTTATTCTCCAGGAAGATATATTAGTATATTACTGTTGTTGTTGACATTTATATACTGCCTTTGTTCCTCTTGCAAGGAACACAAGGTGACTTACATAGTCCATTTTATCATCACAATAACCATGTGAGCTGGGTAGGCTGAGAGTCAATGAGTGGACCAAAACTACCAAGTGTGCATCATGGGTACTAAAACCTGGATCTTCAGAGTCGCATTCCATCCCTCTAACCACTGTACCACAATGGCTTTCAATTCAAAATCTTCTGTTTCTGTGTTCATCAGATCAAACTTCCTGTACTGACTTCCATCTGCAGTTAAACTATGATATCATGCCAGGTATAGAATGCATTCAGTGTGGTCCCTTTCACATAATTAGAAATGGATAGCATACCTTTGAGCCTTTGTCATTGATAGGAATGCAGAGTGAGATCAAATGCGGCATGACAAGAGTTCCAGTTGCGCTATAAGATATCCCCCATCTCTCTATAGCCCTCTTTACCTGCCCAAACTGTTTAGAAGAGCCTCTCAAGCCTCCAGAGCCAATTTTGAGGGGGCTGTGTGAGAACTGGGAATCACGAGAGCTGTTCCATCAGTGGGAAGAGTTAACTGGAAACCATCCTGATACCAGGTCAGGCTATCAGGCCATCTAGGCAGAAATGCCTATGTCTGGCCAGGCTTCCCCAACACTGTGCTCTGCAGATGCTTTGGGCTACAGCTCCTAGCATTCCTGGCCATTGGCTGTGCTGGCTGAGACTGAAGGTGTTGAAGCCCCAGACACTGGGAAGGCACCACTTTGGGGAAGGCTGCAGAACTCTGTGGGTTTCGCATCACCTGATACTTGAACCTTGGAACTGGTGAGGCCAGTGACCGAATCTGGGACCTTCTGCATGTAGCATGGGGGCTTTACTATTGACCTATAGCCCCTACACACACAGAGAGAGAGAATGGGAGAGGGAGGTTATGCTTCCCCTTCTCTTTCACAGTTTAAAGGTTTCCGAGTAGGACTACAGCTTGGTAGCATGGTAGAGGCTGCTTTAACAAAGTGCCAGTTGGGCAGCTGCATTCACTCACTGTATGCTGGCAGCAACACCTTTCTGTTTTGCACACATTCCTTCCTATATGTTCCGTTTTCTTCTATAGGTATCTGCCAGAGTCTTTCTGGTTGTAGGAACTGGCTTTTGCAACTTTGCTGTTCAATTCACTATTATTTTAATTGATGGCTGGAGGCTAATGTATGGAGGAAAGAACAGTAGAGAGTCCAAGACCAGCTTGTTTAAGATCATGATGCAGATGCTCGTTTTTATGTTAAATCTTACATTTGATTGATTGATTGATTGATTGATTGATTTATATCCTGCCTTTTTCCTACAAAGGGCTCAAGGCAGCTTATATCTCCTCCATCTTATCCCCACAACAACAACCCTGTGAGGTAGGTTGGGCTGAGAGTCTGTGACTGGCCCAAAGTCACCCAGTTGGCTTCATGGCTGAGCGGGGACTAGAACCCAGATCATCTGAGCCCCAGTCCCATGCTCTTAACCACTACACCACACTGGCTATTCCTGTTTTTGGACTCAAGTAGAATTTTTTGAAAGGAAAGGAAAGGAAAGGAAAGGAAAAGTGAACACTGGGTCTATTCACATTTGACTAGGAAAGGGAATGCTACCTGTCTCTGGAGCAGTACCTACTTTGCATGCAGAAGCTTCCCCAGCAGTTCCAGCTTCCTGTGTCCCTGTGATGGTGTTCAAACTCCATCACAGTTTATTTCAGGTCTGCATAAACTAAATTCTCCAACAGTTTATTGAGCTTCTGATGAACCTTCATAATTTTTACAGGTTCATGTGTTTGATTTGTTGAGTGACACATTTCCTGGGTTTATCTGGGGACTTTTTAAAAAAAGAGTTTCATGATTTGCAATGAGGTCGCAAGGTCTACACAGATGCAGAATTCAAACATTTTTTATATTTATTTTTGTATCCAAATCTGTGACCTAGGTAAAACATAAAGGGAGCATGGCTTCCTGATATGAGACCACAGGCCTCTCGGGTACCAGACGATGAGGGAAGGAGTCTGGACAGGCATAAGGATAACAGAAGTGTCCATTTCTGCCCCTCTCCAAGGTGGCTTTTGCAATCTCAGAGGGTAGCCCACTCCCTTAAATATATATGATATACACTGAAATTCAAATAAAATACATCATAATGTCTAAAACATTGATATAAAGCACTAATACTGTGGAAGAACATCCAATCATGAATTCCCAGCTGCTGTCAATTCGGTCAACATGGCAAATATGGAATTGATCTAAAGCGTGCAGTTAACAGATACACCTTGGAGAACTTGCACAAATGCAAGTTATTCTTATGCCTCGTTAGTGAAATTCTTCCCTAAATGCATGATGTTCTGGACCTGGTCCTTAAAGGTAGATGTTTTCAAGCAGATGTAACAGAATATATGTCCTTTTTTTAGCCCCTTAGATATTTGAAGACAATTACCATGTCTCTTCTTGGTCTTCTTTTCTTCAGGCTAAACATGCCCAGCTATTTCAAGTGTTCCTCATAGGACTTGGTTTCCAGACTTCAAGTGGTTTCCCCCCATTCTCTTTCCTTCACAGGAACAAGGCAAAATTGGTGTAGTCTTCAATATTGGCACTGTAGATATCTCCATCAAAGAAGAGAGCACCCCAGTGAATGATGGCAAATACCATGTTGTGCGCTTTACCCGAAATGGTGGCAACGCTACACTTCAGGTGGATGGCTGGCCAGTGAATGAACACTACCCTTCAGGTAAATGTCTAATGAATGCATCTTTTCCCCCCTTCTTTTCTTTCTTGAGCTACTAACCCTGCCCTTTAAAACAGTAAATCGGTGTGTGGTGAACAACTCCACAGTGCTGTCTGCGACTGAAGAACTAAACTGATTTTTTGAAAAAAATGAAGAAAACATAACATTTCGGGTATTATGGATCATGTTGGAAAAAAGAAAGTATTTGGATGAATGCACGTTGTTTAAGAAGAGAAGAGGCAAATATATGTGGTTTATGTAATATATAAAAATAACAGATTTATTATGTGAGGCCTCTCATGTAATCTGATTCTGTAGAGAGTGGCAAAAACCGCAGTACATTACCTGCATACCCTGGAGCATTCCTGTAGATGTTATGGGGTGACAAGAAGAATACTTCAATGTAAGTTGGTACAGACTGCAGTCCAAATGATTTGGCAAACTTATAATTGCTACTTGTGGCTATTCTTAATCTATGAGAATAGGAAAATGGGAAGACACAGAAAGGCTGTTTAGGAACTTGTAAGTATTCTGGATCATAGATACTTGCACTCCTTATTTTTGCTTTTTTTGTATTGTTATCATCACGAGGAATAATACTAAAATAAGAATAATATTAATAAAAACCCCTGTTAGGGTTAGGGTAGCTCTACTGAACATGCATTTTTTTGGAATTTGAATATCAAACATTTCAGTTTTAACAATTTTCACTTAAATGATTGTTAAGTCTGAAATATAACATTCGTTTTTTTTTTCATGAAATTAAGATAGGAAATTGTTGCTATGTACCTACTGAGACATCTAGGATTTTGTTTTATTAGTAAAATTAGAGCATCTTTTTGCCATAAGATTGTTTTTGAACTATGTTTGCATTAGGTCGGTATCTCACTCACTTCTGCTGCTGAAGAAATCTGTTGCATAGCAAATGTGGAGATATATGAAAGTTTTGCTTTTGTTCACAATCAAAGTTCCAGTGCAAGTGCAAGCATATGTCCATCAAAAATATCTGTAAATCACAGAACACATGCTCACACTTATCTCATTCCTATATCTTAGGCTGAATTATACACATTTCCTAAGTGGCTTAAATTTCTTCAATAGACTGAATCAGTCACACTTTTACACTAATAAGGGAAATTGCAAAGGTTAGGGAATGTATGTACATTCACAGAAACTTGTGCAAAACTTCCATAAAATTGGTGCTCAATATGTGCATATTTCCTGTTTGTGTGGTGCAAGCAGTGATTACTAACACAAGCAGCAATCAAGTATGCCACTATTGATGAGATGGTGCTAGGGGAATTCTGGTGATCTCGAATATCACCTGTTTGTCTATACTGTCCAGTTAAACAATTAGATTTGGCCAAGCAGAAAGTCAGCAAGTGGGATGAGAAGAGATGGGTAGGAAATTGAGAAAGAAATTCAGATTTTGCCAGTTGAAGGCATATTGTGCTTACTGGGCATGTGTTGAGATTCTCTGAGCTTAACTTTGTTGGCCAACATATATGCTGACTGGTTGGAATAGAACAATTGATCGATTTTTTAAAATGGCTTGGCATCTTGATAGCATTTAAATAACTTTTCCATGAACAGCAAGTAGATCCTCCCTTTCTAGTATTAACTAACTGGTTTGTCTTTCCTCATGATATGTAATCTTATTTGCAAGCAAAGTAACAGTGAATACAAAGGAATATAATAATTTATGTGATGTCATCTATGTTATTTGACGATCTTCCATTGGTATTAATGAGGCTGTTATGCACACAAAAGAAGATATGAAAAACAGAAGAACAGAAAGCAGAAGGTTTATTGATTTGCACTAAGAATCAAATTTGGCTTTCCCAGCCAATGCTAGGCTTTAAGCAGCAATGGCAAATATGGCTTTCCAGGTGTCTTAGCTATAGTTCTCACACGCCCTAGTCAGCATAGCCAATGGTGAGAAATCATGGAAGCCGTTGGCAAAACATCAGGAAGGGTACAAATTATCTACCCCTGTTTTAAATAAGTCTCCCCTTTCTTCTCTCATTTCCCTTAATCCTCTGTGATTTTCTATTATTTGTCAAATAGCAGGAGAGTTGGAGGTACAGAACTCAGCTTCTCAAAAACTCAGCTATGACAAACACCACTTTTAGACTTGTGAGAAGTAAGACAAATTTATTTATTTATTTAGGAAGCTTCTATGCCGTCCCATTTGCCGAAGCCTCGGGGTGGCTCACAACAATAAATAAATAACAATATAAAAACAATATAACAATAAATGTCTCCTTGTTATTGAGCATCCTACTTTCCTTTCCTCTGTACCATCTTTGGGACACTCCTAAGAAACACAGTTCAATATAGATCTTAAAACTGCTATCCTTAATGCATTTGACAAAATGTGTTGGAATAACTTGCATCTAGTATAGTGGGCATGTTTCAATCCACAAATAAAGTTGGAAGGGGTTTCAGGAGCTTAGAGCAATGCACCATGGCACTGTCGAACACCTTCAAGTGCATCTCATTCCTCTTCCAGCAAGTACTTTTGGAGGAATAAGCCATGCATAGTGGGTGATGGATGGCAGTTGCAACCAAAGCATCTAATTCGGAGATTGGCAACCTGTTGCCATCTTTCTCTTCAGAATGTTCTGTGCAAAATGTTGTTTCTGGGAGATTCATAGGCTGCAAAGCCTTCAGGACAAATGATTCAGGCTTGAGGTAAAGGGTATTAATGTTTTCTAGATGAGGGTTGAGCAGAATTCAGTCTTGTAAGAGCTACCTTGTTTTTTATTAGAACACCCAAATCTATCAGCATGGTTAGATGCAACAAATATGCAAATGCACTTAGGATGAAACAGCATGGTATTTCTGAGCATATTTTGAGCCTAGGAATTTATTTTCAGCAACACAATTGAGCTGAGTTCAAACTTTAATGGAAAAGTTCACTCCCGAGTTACCCCATAGTTTTTCATTTCAACAACCTGACTAAGATGGAAAAGTCATTTTCTTATCACTATTATTAAACAACTGGAAGTCAGAAACTTGGCAATCTCCTGAAAATTACCCAGAGTACTACCAATAGGTCCCAATCTGGCTTCTTCTACCCACTCATTTCTAGGTTATAGCATTATCTTTTACATATCATAATCAAAACATTTTAGTTGATTCTGCAGCTAAATTACTCTATTAATGAATCTAATGTGAATCACCAAAAAGTAATTGGTACCCAAATCGCTTTTAATTTCAACAAAGCATCACTTTTTATCAGAAAGATGTGCCAAAGATGTGGCATCTTAAATAGTTTCTTTTTCCTTTTCTGTTACACTAGCCTGCCTCCAAAAACAAATTTCTCTCTTCACTCGTTCACACACGTGAACGCTCTCCCTCTCCCTCTCCCTCTCCCTCTCTCTCGCACACAAACACACAAACACACACACACACACACACACACAAGAAATAGGTCCTCTAGTTATACCACACAGTTGAAAATTGTCTTCCACTAATTAAACAATTAGAACCTTAGTTGATTACTATACTAATTTATTAACTTGCAGCCCATATAGAGAAAGAAATAGAGGACAGAACAGTAAAGCATTATCAAGAAAAGCATTCCAAAGTTTTTGTCTTGAATTGGCATATATCTGTAATGGATCCCTCAGTCATTATGCTTTTGGCCAGCCAATTTTTGTTAAAATTTGCAGGGAAGGAAATGTGAGGTTTATTGCATGCTGAGCCACTGCAAATGATAAGTTTCAAAAAGGAATCCACAGTCTGGAGTGGAAAATTGGGTTGTTTAAATAGACCCAAACTTTGTGACTTCTCTTTTTCTCTTCTAAAGTCACACCAAAAAAATATCACAGTTTGTACTGTGATTTGATTTTTTAAAAAAATTCTCCATAATGTAGCTCATGGATGATGTAAAGAAACAAAGCAGTCCCTAACTTCCTTGGGATAGCTTATATATATTTGCTGGTATTTGATGCCATAACCTAAAGGGCTTATTTATATTCTGTTTCTTCACATACATGCATGCACAATACAAGCTCTTCTATCTCAATGTCTGAGGAAGGGCTGGTGAACAAATGTGGATAATTAGCAGTTCAAATACTCAGGGATATTTTTCACTTAAGGTTATTTTAAATGGAGGCTACCTAGTGAATTAAGATAATAAAGTAATTCAGATAATTTAACCAGGAACACTGAAATTTGGTGCATCAGTTACTGGATATCATGAATATAGCCATCAAAAGTTAAAGAGTTCAAAGACATTTCAGGAGTTCTTTGTGAATAACTCCCAAATATTTTATTTTAGGTAGAATGTTGTTAGCTGATGTCCTGCAAAGATTCTTCAGTGCTATTCTCAAACAGCTTTAACCAATGGCATCCCGCTTCTGACAGAAAGCTCTTTGAAAGGAAATTTCTTTTGATTCTCTCTCCAGATTCCCCAGTGTCACATTCTCACACTTTTCCAAAGAGTCCCTCAACTCTCTGGAGCAGGTCTGTGGGGAAATGAGGGGGAGCTGTATGAAAGAGAGGACATGGTCAAAAATCACCGGTCCCCATCTGGCTGATGAAAGTTTCTGCTATATCAGGATGTCTTCTCTTCCGTCAGTGGAGTGAAACCAGTGGATGAAGCTCAGAGGCATCAGAATTTTTCTATTATTTATTTATTAGATTTTTATTCATTTTTTAGGTTTTTAGCCTGTCCCATTACCTACACAAACCAGAATGATGGTTTAAGCAGATACTCAAGAGGGAGAGAAGTTACAATTTTTTTTATCATAACAGCCCTACAATATTTTAGGTCATGCTTTTTCTGCCTGAATGATAACAGATCAGTCTTATCCCCATGAAACGTTTGTAATGAAAATGGAAAAGTCACCAATACCGCTCAAGTTGTCAGAAGAAGAGATCTGGAAATGTGTAATACATACAGTGATGCTACCAATTGGCAAACTTACTTAGGATTCATTTGAATCTGAACCTGGAATTATGGGCAACAATGTTAAAGATCTTTAAGGAAATGT